GTTTACCTACCGCCCACTTAAGAAACAGTATTGGCAGCAACTTAGAAATCTCTGTGTGCTGCTCCTTACCCACAAAGGTAACCCATTATCCTGAATCTTGTTAATAATTTCCTTGCCATCAAGCTCAACTACGTACTTAGTTTTACCTGGTTTTAAGTGCTGTATAAATGGAAGTATATTGTCTGCATTCTTCACCTTCCTTCTTGCTTCATTTATTTTCATCACCATTGTGCTCCACTGTATGTATGTATGTCTGTAAATAAATGTACAGACATTTATTTATGCATTCTCCTGGTGGTCCGCAGTCTGGTTGTTTTCAGGATTATGAAGAGTGCTCCTTCGAATATTCTTATACATGTCTCTTGGCACCCAAGAGAGAGCACCTCTCTGTGTATTCTGCACATAGTGGAATTTCTGAGCCATAGGTTATAACACACGTTCAACTCTCCCAGGGAGAGTGAAACTCTTCCAGTCCCACCAGAACAGATGAGCACTCATGTTGCTTTACAATCTTGCCAACATTTGGCATCGTTCATAGATGGGTGTGAAATTCACTCTCACTGTAGTTTTAATTTGCATTTCCCTGAGTACCAGTGAGATAGAGCTTTTTTCCTATATACGGGCCCAAAACACCAGCCTGTGAGAGAAGACCCATGGCCACCTTGCTCTCATTAAGGAATCTCAAGAGCCTAAACAGGGCCTGGCACATGATAGATATACTCGATAAGTTGCATGAATGAAGGATTGAGAGTTGAGCCTTAGTTCTGAGTCATCCCCCTGTGCACTTTCCTTGGTGCTCTCCCAGGTTTCCAAAGGCACATATTTCATTCTTTTCAAGTGTAAGGAAACATTTTTTAAAGTCTGACAATGCTTATTCTTCCATCAGACTCCACAGAAAAACACTCCCTGGGGATCCAGTTTCCCAAGTCCTGTTCTTACAATAAAACACTGCCGAAAGGTCTTTTGGACAGAATTGCTGCTCGGGGGGGGAAAAAAAAAATGATGCTTTTCCTTGGAAGATGTCCCTGAAGGGGTCTGATTTTGGGTCAGCCGTAAGAAGCCCTTGAAGCGTTTCCCTGTTTGAAAGGGATCCTTCATAACTATCAGAAGGCAGCAGGAGGATTCATCCGGCAGGAATCCAAGAAGAGACCAGCTGGGCTGGAATGTCTGGAAACTTTTCCTGAAGAAAAAGTTAAAAGGCTGTTTTGCAGGGACTTGAGATTTGCTGAAATAGCTGTTTACCTATAGGAAACCCAGGGGCAGCCGTGGTGCCAAGCTCAGCAAACCAGCCCATGATAGACAGGGGCCCCAGCTTTCCTTGGACCCTAATGCTCTGACTCTAAAGATTGGGACCATGAAAGTTCATTTCCTTATGGGAAATTCCAGGAGGATCACTTAGCAAACACGTGGTCATTGAGATGAGAAGCCCTCTTTCAGTGGTTCCAAACAAGGTGAACTTATATACATGGTTACCTTAAAACTCACAGCAGCCAACAGCCCTGATTACTATTGTCCAAATGCAGGCTCGGGTGGACTCAAGACAGAATGGAAGAAAAGGAAGGAGACAGGCCTGGTCCTACCTGGGGTTGGGGAAGTGAAGCCAGGAGAAGGGTGGTCTCCAAGAATGTGGCTGACTCCTATTGCTTACAAATATCTGCGTGTTCCTCTATATCTCCCGGCCTTCTTGGAAGTCGGGAGGGATTGTGTGAGCAGCTCGGGCCAATGAAATAAGAGAGGAAATTACAGCTGTCACTTTCAGGCCCAGGTGGGTAAGTATCCAGTGTGGGAAACCCATGAACACTTCTAGCTTCTCCCAATCCGCTGGATGTTTACGCCAAGATGACCTTGAAGTTCAAAGACGGGGAACCCCCAAGCAACCTGGGTCCTCGGTTACCACTTGGAGAAGAGCTGCCCAGGAGAGCCCCCCAACATTTAGAGGACTGTGGAGTGAGAAATAAACTTGTCCTGGCTTCAGCCTTTGGGGTTTGGGGGCTGCTGTTGCAGACTGTGATCATTTCCCTGATTCATACAAGCTGCCAGCATGTGGAGAGGCAAAGCGACCAGAGAGGCTTGGGCCCTGCAGCATATGGATAACAAGGGGTTCAATCTATTGGGTGAGACTTTGCAGCAGAAGTTTTCAGGCATGGGGAGAGACTGTCCAGGTCCAGAGGATGAGTGCATTCAGAGCAGGTCCCCACTAGGGACTGAAGATACAGAGAGGAGATTTAGTCCCCAGGGTGGGAGAGAGGGAGCTGCCAGGGGTAGGCAGGTATTAGGACTCCTGCAAAACGGGCTGTAGGGGAGAGTCTGGTTCCAGTTCAGAACCAGAGCAGCAGTCAGAAAACCAAGGGAGAAGCCAGCAGGCTGGAAGAGGAGAAGCCAGGGGCTTGGAGACCATGCATGACTCAGGGTTCCTCCGACAGCCACAGGTAGCAGCCCCATGGCAGCTCCACAGATCCTAGTGTGAGCCAGTGGGAGGCGGGGCTGCAGCCACACTGCCAGCCCTGGTCAGGTGACACAGTCTAGCAGGGCTGACCCTCACAGCTTCCCCGTGCATGAAGCTGAGAAGGCTGGTTCCAGCCCAGGCATTTCTATAGAACCGAAACTACAGAAGCCCCAAGCTCTGAGACAGAAGTATTGGCCACGTTCCAAATCAGGGTCCCATTGACACGTGTGCTCTCTACTCCAATTGCATCTTTTGTTTTGAACTAAGATCTCTGGCTCCATTACCATCACTGATGCTGTAGAGAATAATGATGAGCTTGAATGTCACAGGGACTCAGGGAACAATTTTCTGAAATCCAAACAAAACCCTTCCCGTCCCTAGTGTGAGAGTCATTCTTATCAGATAACTCAGCCCATCCATTTACTCAGGAGTTCTCAGAGCCCTCTCTGGTGCGTTAAGCCCCTCTGAATTGCTGTGAGCGCCTTCTCCTGTGGATGTATTCAGAAAAGCTCGCTCTACCCAGCTGCTATTCAAAGCTGATCCCCAGGAATATGTTTAATTTATACTTTGCTATACGAAGATGAACCACTGACTCATTTAATGTGTTTCCTTTTTTATGTCTTTAATCAGTGGCTGTTTCTTTCCTCTCTCAGAAGCTTAATCTAATCAGAAACAACCCCTGCTCCCCATATGAACGGCTCGTTAGCATGTTCCAATCAAATTCAAATTGACTGTCCATACCAGATGCCCCTCCCCCACACACACAAAAAGAGTGACACTGGTCCAAAGGATAAGCCAGGAGGGTAAGTTAGGAGGGTCCTTTCTGAAATGCGGGGCAATCAAAATTACTAGAGGAAAGTATAATACAATCTGTCACCTCCCAGCATGGTGGAGCCAGATGACAGGTGACCCATGTGTCACTGGGACAGCATAGGTGGGGAAGTTTGGCAGACCCTGGGTGCAAACATTAGAGGAAAAGCTGTGTGTCTGGCCCAAGCATCACACCCACATTCGGCTCAGAGGAACGCTCGAGGTTATCGTTCAGATGATAAAACAAATCTCAGATGCTGAACATTTTCTCACTCAGAAGTATTTGGTCTAAAGAGTCTTCCTCTTACTCCACTGGAATTCAGACTAAGAAAGCTAGTGTGCTGGGTCTTCACTTAAAGAGATTTGCCCTTTTCATACACATCAAAATGAATTGTCAGCTTGGGTTTCATCTCTGATAGGTACCTACAGCAAACTCACATTAAAAATGGGATTTACGGGCTTCCCTGGTGGCACAGTGGTTGAGAGTCCGCCTGCCGATGCAGGGGACGCAGGTTCGTGCCCTGGTCCGGGAGGATCCCACATGCTGCGGAGCGGCTGGGCCCGTGGGCCATGGACGCTGGGCCGCAGCGGGAGAGGCCACAGCAGTGAGAGGCCGGCGTACGGCAAAAAAAAGAAAAAAAAAAAAAAAAAAGGGATTTACAAAAGAGATCAGCATTGCAGTATAGCAGAACTGCAGGGGACCTAACAGATTACCTTTCATTTCCCACCTGAGGTTCAAGGTCACATGATAATATAGACGCACAGTAGGAAATGTTTCCAAGACCTCTGCCTCTTGTGAGACAGGAGGACACTGTGGTCAGAGAACAGGGGTTAAACAGTCTTGGTGTCAAATCCTACATTTCCCATTTGCTAGATTGGTGACTTCAGACATTTCATGTCACTCCCTAATATTCAGTTTTCTTGTCTGTGCAATGTGTCACAAAAATGATACATTGCAAAGTAGATGTGAGGATCAAATGAGAGAATTTCAACACCTAGGCCAAGTTTAGAGCCCACTAAGTGTGAGGTATAACTATTATCAGTGTAAGATTCCATTGATGACAAGATTCACCACCGCTGTAATAAGAACTTTACAGGGCAGGAGGAAACACCACATTCTGCTGAGCTCGAGATTTATATATCCACCTGCCTACATGTCACCTCCACGTGTGTATCTCTCAGGCATCGCAAGCTCACCTTGTCCAAAACCAAGTTCTTGATTTCCTTTCCTGCCTCCCCAGCTGTCCCTTCGTCTTCCCCTCATCCATCTAATAGCCCACGCCTGAAACCTACATAAATAATTATGTAACTCATCCGTAATTACGTCCTCTTCCTCCTCCTTCACAGCCAGTAATGCGCCAGCAAATGCAGTCAGTTCTACCTCCTAAATATAGCTTAAATTTAATCACATCTCTCAATATGCACAGACAACATTCTGGTCCAATTATTTTTGTGTGGACAACTCTATCAATAGCCTTCTTTTTTTTTTTTTAAAAAACCAGGAATGTACAAATGTCCTTATTCAAAAATAAATTATCTGTAGGTATGGACAATGACAGCAGTAAACCATTCTATGTTGTCAACTGAAACCAGTAACTGATGGTTATAGTGATTTTCTTAAACATCAGCCAGCCTTTTCTTCAGTCATCTCCTTCAACTGACCTCTCTTAAAGTTACTGGTGAGGAACGCTGCTTTGAGCTTCCTTTCACATCTCATTAATGATGTAAAGCACTATTCTAGGAATTAGGACATGCCACCTCCCATCCCACCTCCCATCCCACCCATTCCGCCCATTCCAGGATCCTTCTCTTCTTTAGGAATTTCTGTGACTACAACTTCTGCTGTAGTTAACAGAGAGGCCACTCCAGCAGCATCCAGTAATGCACTTCTTACAACCTTAGCTGGATCAGTGATTCCTTTTTCCACCATATTCACAAAATCTCCAAGCATAGCGTCATAACCAACTTCTGAAGAACTCTGCAAAATTTTCTCAACTATCAGTGATCCTTCGACACCTGCATTCTTAGCAATGGTCATTGCAGGAATTTTGAGTGTGTTGAAAATAATTTCTATACTAATTTTTTGATCTTCATTAGCTGGAGTTTTGAATCCAAGGCTGGAAGGCACTGAAGCAGTGCACAGCCCCCTCCCAAAACAATGCCTTTTTCAACAGCAGCTCACGTAGCATTATGGGCATCTGTAACTCTGTCTTTCTTTTCATTCACTTCAACGTCACTTGTCCCACCAACCTTTAGCACAGCAACACCATCTGAGAGTTTTGCCAGACGTTCATTCAGTTTTTCCTTTTCATATTCACTAGGGGTAATATCTAACTGCTCTTTGTTTTTTTTTTTTTTTTTTTTTGTGGTACGCGGGCCTCTCACTGTTGTGGCCTCTCCCGTTGCGGAGCACAGGCTCCGGACGCGCAGGCTCAGCGGCCATGGCTCACGGGCCCAGCCACTCCGCGGCATGTGGGATCTTCCCGGACCGGGGCACGAACCCGCGTCCCCTGCATCGGCAGGCAGACACTCAACCACTGCGCCACCAGGGAAGCCCTCTATGATTTCTTGAATACGCTTTTCAATTTAAGCCTTGTCCCCTTTTCCTTTCAAGAGCATGGCATCATCTTCAAGATTTAGAGTTAGCCCTTCTCCAAATACTGTACCACCAGTAGCAATAGCCATGTCTTTAAGCTGGTTCTTTCTGTTGTCACCAAAACTTTGAGCTTTGACTGCTACAGCCTGAAGACCAACTTTCAGCCTATTCAAAACGAGTGTACTTAGAGCTTCTCCATCCACATCTTCAGCAATTATGACCAAGGGCTTATGGTGAGCACTGGCAATTTCAAGGGCAGGAACAATGGACTGGACACCAAAATTTTCTTTTCACTCAACAGAACATAGATAGGCATCTTGGAATTCACATTTCTGATCTTTTGATGTATTAATAAAGTATACAGAGATATACCCTCTATCAAACTTCACGCCTTCAATAATTTCTAATTTCGTCATTCAGTGTTTTTCCATCCTTTACTGTGATAACGCACTTTCTTCCACCCTTTTTCATCGCATCAGAAATGATGTTGCCAATTTCGTTGTCTCCATCTGCAGGAATCGTAGTAACCTGGGAGATCTCTTCTGGGGTTGCCACAGGTTTAGACTGCTTCTTCAGTTCAGCAATTATAGCATCAACAGCTAACATCACACCTCTCCTGATTTCCACTGGATTAGCACCTTTGCTAATCTTCTCGAAGCCTTCCTTGGCGATAGAGCGTGCCAGTACAGTAGCAGTAGTGGTACCATCCCCAGCCTCTTCATTTGTGTTATTGGCAACATCTCGAACAAGTTTAGCGCCAATATTTTTACATTTAACTTTTAAGTCAATGGACGTTGCAACAGTCACACCATCTGTGGTCACTTTGGGACTTCCCCAACTCTGTTCGATAATCACTGTCCTTCCCTTTGGCCCCATAGTAACGGCTACAGCATCAGCTAAAAGGTCTACGCCTTGAAGCATTAAGGCTCGGGCATCCGCACCAAATTTTACATCTTTGGCATAAGCCCGAGTGAGACGAGAAGCCAGTGCCCTGGACACTGGCCTCATCTGGCGAAGGACTGCGGGTAATCGAAACGTTTCTGTGGGGCGGCAGCACGGCTTGCAGGCGACGAGACGAGTGAGGGACAGACTGCAGGGCACACACAGCAATGAGCCCATGTCCTCTCCCTCCGCGTATCAGTAGCCTTCTAACAAGTTTTTTTTGCTTGTTTGCACGTTTGTTGCCGTCCAGTCCATCTTCTAAAATTATAAATCAGATCATGACTCTCTGGAGCTTTAACATCCATTGCTGGCTCCCAGGTTTTTACGCTTTTGCTCTTGCTTTTTTCCCCAAATCTGGAAATTATACATTGAGACATTACTATTATCTAATCCACAGCCTATAATCAAATTTCATTAATGGTCCCAATAATGGCCTTTATAGCTATTTTCCACCTTGGTCCTAACTTTTTAACAAGGTAAAATTTTCTTCAGCTTGGCTCTCAAACCCCTTTATCAACTGTTACCTCTTCTGTGCAGCTTATTAATCTTACTTTGCTACGGCTCTCTCATTGAACACAATTAAAGAAACGTAAGTGTGAAGACCCTTCCAAAAAAAAATTGTCCATGGGTCCTCTCCTTCTGCTCCCCACCATTTCTAGGCAATTGCTTCATTATGTACTTTTTTAATTGCTTTGTTCTTTAGGGATTAATTTTGCACTTATCTTTACGAACCGTAAAACTTACAACGTACTGTTAAGCTGTATCTATTCCACGGCTGCTTTGTAACTGCGGAGTCACTGCATGGCTGGTGAGCTAAAGATAATGTGCTATGGCAAAGAGCCTTCCTCTCAATGTTTTCAGATACCTTCTGGCTACCCAGCATGGCAGAATAATTGGTTCTGGGCTGCTGGGGGCGCTAAGCTCCCCTCCCATATGGAGATCGCAAGCAGAGAAGACCCCCGATCCCGGAGGTTTAGGCTTCGTAGGCCTCAGCATGCTCAGACCCCAAGGGCCCTGGGGATTTCAGGCCCCACGGTCCCAGCAGGCCACGCCTACTGGCACACATTCCAACAGAGCAGGGCTGGCTACAGCTGACCACCTAGAAAGACAATGTCAACTCCTCTCTCAAGGTCAAGTCCATATTTTCCCAGCGCCCTTGCACTTGGCCTGCGCCGGCAAGCAGTTTTCAAGGAATCCCTGTCCTCCATTCTTGGTCGAATAAAATCTCCAAACTCCTTGCCCCCTCAATCCCCCCTTTGAAATCTGTATTCTACCACCACCCCTTGACCCCAACTGTCCCCTCAAAGGCTTCTTCCACTTGCATCTGGATGCCCTTTCTCCACTCATATTCTCACAGTACAGGGCTTTAGAGGCTTAGGCATCAGACAGAACCGTGTTCAAATCCCAGCTCCACCAAACTCTTTCTATGTGGGACCTGGGCAACTGACTCAACCTCTCTGAGCCTCAGTCTTCTCGTCTGTAAAATGAGGATAATAATTCTAGCCTCTTGTGGTTCTCAGGACGAAATGACATACAGCATAAAACTCACCAGGATGTAAGCTCTAAGAGGGTACCATGTAGACAATCCTGTTCATCACTGTATGCCCAGCACTCAGCACAGTGTCTAGTATTAAATAAATAAAAGCACCAAGCACAAAGTAAACAATGAATAAATGGTAGCTATTATCATTAGTGGTCATCCTACCATGACTAGTGCAATCCTGAAATGCTTCCCATGACATCTGTGATTTTCCACCAACCCAGCTCTTATTTTTCTAGTCAATTCTTCTCTGTAACTATGGGCACCACCCTGCCACCTGCCCCATTTCCTATGCCCATGCTCAATTCTAAAATCTCTTTCTAGTTCAGACTTTCATCCTCTCTGGGCTCCTCCATCCTCTTACCTTCCGTGGGCACACAGAGGGCACCTGATCCCCTGTCTCATCTCCAAATCTTCTCTTTACCTTTAGTTCTGGCTTCTTGCTGAAGTCAAGATCCGGGTATTACATTTCTCCCCTAATGCTAAGTGCAGAACACAAGCAGCATAATAAATGTTCACTGCGTAAATAAACAGATGGACGAATAATGCGAGCTTTCTGGTTATTTCCATTGTTATTTCTAATATCAAACTTGCCCCATTTTTCCCCACAAACCAACTCCCTACACCAAAGACCCCTTTCTTAGTCAATGGTACCCCCAAATCTCTCAGCATCTGAGCTTGAAATCTCAATGCCATCTTTGTCAAACTTTAATAACTCATTTATAAGGACCATGAAAGGCTACGTCTTGACCTCCAATGAGCACTCAGGCCACTATTAGCATCTTACACAGCGCTAAGAGAACACATGGACACTTTGCCTTAGCAAAAGTTTTGAGTCGGGCTTCCCTGGTGGCTCAGTGGTTGAGAGTCCACCTGCCGATGCAGGGGACACGGGTTCGTGCCCCGGTCCGGGAAGATCCCACAAGCCGCGGAGCCGCTGGGCCCGTGAGCCATGGCGCTGAGCCTGTGCTCCACAACGGGAGAGGCCACAACAGTGAGAGGCCCACGTACCAGAAAACAAAAAACAAAAAAAAACAAAAAAAGTTTTGAGTCACTGGGAAAATGCCCTTAGGAAGAACAAAAGCCTGCAACCTTGAAACCTGTGTCTCATGTCTTGAAATCCCTGGCCTCAGAAGGCGGCATAGATGGAATAGTTATTCCACTGTACAGCTTGCAGCCTCCTGTAGGCTTTATTTACCCCATGACAGCAGCTGAAGGACAATGCCACGGCAGATTCCAGTTCACGAAAGAATGATACAAAACGGTGGCAGTCCACGACACCCTCCACCCCACGCCCCCCCCCACCCCCCCACCCCAGAAGAACGTGTTGCTCTAGGCTCGCGGGTTATTCTGAACACTAGCTCCAGCTGGCTTGGACCAACCATAACATTTAGAAGCAACACAGACTAAAATCCAATTTAAGGTGTTTAATTCTCTCTGTCTCCAGGGACGGGGGGTGGGTCAGAGAATCTGCATGTAGGCTTTCTCTGAGATGTTGCTTCTGGTGGTCTCCTGAGACCTTTCCAGTTGAGCGAGAACGCTGATGCCCATACCCCTTCTCTTCCTTTTCACGTCTCTGTCACTGTGCTGGCAGAGACTAGTTGATGTACCTAAAATCGTGGTATCCAGTGTTTCTAATTAGCGTCCTTGTTCTCACCCAAGGCTGGGTGAGAACAACCGTGATGTCAGCAATGAGCTTACTCAGCCTTCTAAGCCCAAGGCCTCTGGGGAGAACCGTGTGGTCCCTCGGGCGCTTCAGTATCCTGCAGGCTTGACAAGCACACATACACTTGCTTGGGCCTCTTTCACTAGTAATTTTAGCAAAGTGTCTAGCCCCTTAACCCTAGATATATTTTGTAAAAGTTTCAAATAATGGCGATGCCTGTTCTGGGCAGTTGCTATATCCCCTACTTTGCTTTCTCTTCCTCCTCTGTGTCTCTGGCTCCCTGAACCCAGGTTTCTGACCTCCTGCTACCAGCTCTTCTCACTTGGCAGTTCCTCAATGTACTTCCTTTCTGACACTCTGGACTCTGGCTTTCAGCTCAGCTCTTGTCTCTGTCACCCCCTCCAGTTTTGATGTCTCCTGCGACCTCAGGTGAAGACATTGCGTGGTACTGTCTGAACCAGGCCCCATCTCCCATGAGGAATTTGGGCTGAATCCTCAAGCACTGAAACAGTACTGTGGTCCTTTTCCAAAGTGATGCTGACCCAGGTTAGCTCCTGAAATTAAACTTTATGCCATGGACAATTTTAAACCCTGAAGGCAGAGGTGGATGAGCATCGTGACACAGTGATAAGGTATGAACCTTGAAACCACTCGGGCTGGTTCTTATCTTGAGCGATCTGGGGAGGCATTTTATCCTATTACTTCCAGCTTCCTAACTTACAAAGTGGGGATAACAACACGGACTTCGTGGGACTTACATAAAAATTAACGAGATAATATAAACAAAGTGATGGGTCAATAGCATCCAATAAATGGAAGTTCCTCCTCTCATTATTGTTATGATTAATAATATTATCATCATCTTCCAGACTTGTGGCCTAATACCGCTACCAACTGTGGAGCATGTATCTGCTTTATGAAATAATAATCTTCTTCTGTTGCCCAAGAGTTGATGTCACTAAACCAACTCTTAGACATTTCAGACCTAGAAAGGCCAATGTTAGAAAAGAAGGAAATGTCTGTCTGGACTCTCCCAGTAATAGGTCATCCACCATAAGTTCACTTTTTCCTTTTACTTAAGTCACTGATGAAAATGTTGGACAAGCCAGGATGAGCAAAGAGCCCACCGAAGGCCACCCGCCGGATTGCCAATGACCACTCTTTTTCTCCATCTGATGGCTCTACCTTGTCTGTCACTGGCCCTCTGTTTTAGCCCCATGTTACAGATCCCCAGTTCTCAGCCTTAGAGTTCAGCCCTAGTCATGCTCTTTCTCAGCTGTCACTTTGCACGTGTCACCTCAACTCTCTGGAACACCTGTCCTCCTCTTCCCACCTGAATAACACACCTTCATTGCTTAGGCCCAGCCTAAATGCTGCCTCCTTTGTGAAGCCTCAGCCAGCTCCCAGGGGTAGAGGGGTCACTCCCTCTTGGGTGCTACTGTAAAGCACACAGCATCTTTCATCCTTGCCATTTTGATCCATAACACTGGGTTATGCCTTACTTAGTGCTTCAATCCGAATTATATTCACAATGATGAATTTTCATCCAGGAAGTATTTTCTGGAATAAATGTCATTAAGGGACTTTAATTCTCTTGGTCAATTTTCTATATAATGTAATTAAAATATATTTCCTTTTATGCTAGTTTTCTAATTTTATTTTACTAGACATTTTCATGGGGTTAATACTTTTTTGCATTGATTTTACAACTAAGATATGACTTATCTATCAGCAATTTTTAAATCTACATCTTTTTTTACAATTATGGCCTCCATCACAGAGTTTTCTTTTGTGGTCATGATTTCAACCAAGTTTAGTTTTCCTGAATCAAATTTTGCAGATGTGAATTATATTACTATTCATTTCTTCAATCAATTTTTTAGCTTTTAATTTTTTACTGTGTTAATTTTTGTTTGTTGCTTTAGTTCACGTTGATGATCTTTACTACTACTCATAATTTGGAAAAAGAAT